TGGTGTAGTATTTGTTAAAACAATTGTGGACCGTTATGTATATCTGAACATATTGCGAACTAATTTAAAGGAATCGTCAATAAATTAGGTTTTGAACAGAGTGGATATTGAATTACATTTCAGGAGCTGAGATATTATGATTTTCTGCGTTGTATGTAGACTTTATTGTACATGATATATTCACTCCTTGTACATGCATTAATCTGTCATTCCTGAGACTGACAAAAAATACTGATGAAGATTGAAGTAAAAAATCTTCATTAGTATTTTTTGACGTTACACGGTCACTCTGAAAACTGAACACTGCCGCAATTATTCTACCTTGTACTACAAAATGCGCTCTAAACCGTTCAACTGGAGGGAATCTTGAAATATTTTTTGACAGATTTCAAGATATGTTACATAGAAGAAGAAATTAGAGATAAAAAAGTATTTATTGCGGGAGATTTTAATATAAATGTACAAGTCATGGGAAAGTATGAAGTTGTGCAACTGCAAGACATTTCTGAGAGTTTTAATTTACACTGTGTATTTTTCGAAACTTCGAGAAAAACATCAACATCTCGTTCTTGTATTGACAATATTATTACAAATTGCAGCAAAGATCAATACTATTCACAAACGACCAATCTTCATCTGTCGGACCATTATGCACAATTATTAGAGCTGTTGGTGCGCCGAAGGAGATTCCTGTAAGCAAATAAGTTATTAAAAGTAGGAACATGAATCATGAAAACACTTACCGTTTTAATGCAGAAATATCCCGATACTGCTTTAACGAAACTGATTGGATCTCACCTACTATGCTGTTTTCGTCATTTAATATCCGTCTTTAACTTAAATGTTGTCCTAAAAGAGAAATTACATTGCAATCTAGTACGCGTTCCAACCAATATTTACCAACAAGAATAAAGGATAGAATAAACAGCATAAAAATTTTAAGTATTCTTGCGCAATGTACAAAAACAGATGAGGCATACAGAATTTATAATAAATATAAAAATGAATTACGAAACGAAAATGAGATCTATAATGCACCAAACCAAACAAGCAAAAGAAGGTATGGCAATTAATAAATAATGAATTAAAGGTAAACAAGAAAACGAAGAGCAAAATTGATGTTACACCTGAAGAGTTTAATGAATACATTAAAACAATTGGAAATCAAGTAAACTCGGATTTAGCAAACAACTATATGAAGACTCTATCAATACAAAACAATGCGTCATGTTATTATGTCGATAGTAAAGAAATTTGCACCAAAAAGCAGTGAGGACATATATGGAATGTCTATGGCCTTCTTAAAAAAATCTATATTAAGCTTATATGTTCATTTAGTGTACATTTTTAACATGTGCCTCAAACATGGAATATTCCCTGAGGAATTAAAAGTCGCTAAAATAGTTCCTGTATATAAAAAGGGTGACAAGCAAACCAGAAAATTTCAAACCTATCTCAATATTGCCTACAATGTCAAAACTACTAGAATATTTGTAAGACAATATTTGTAGAATATTCTTGTGTAACAACCTGTATGTACAGGTGTCTTTTCTCTGCTAAAATTGCATTCAAAATGGATGTATTGTACATTAATGGATTCAGAAAAACAATCTCTATCCAATGACGTGAAGAAAAATATATGGAGCAATTTGACAAAACTAAATAATCGCTTCAAATTGAAGATGGCTTTGGAAAAAATTTCTTTGTAGCATGAATCATAGTATTTATCAAACCATATCATTTGATACCTCGCTCATGAAAATCGAAATGTAAATGACAGAGTTACAGCTTGGGGCGTTTTTTGTGTGACACCCTGTATATTCAACTGTATATAGAACGTTCACCAGAAATTATACCTTCTGCGAAAAAACTGTGATTCCCATAACTATCACACTAGAGACAAAAACGAACTGCGTATCCCCACACATCGTTTGTTTAAAACCCAAAATATTGCCAACTATTGGGGCATTAAATTCTTTAACCATCTACCTGCGTCGGTACGAGATCTACCCTTTCCAAGAATGAAGAATGCTGTAAAGAACCACCTTTGCCAAAACGCGTTCTATACCATTCAAGAATTTTTTGAGAAAATCTTCTGTAATAATAATGTAATATCTTTAATTTCGTTATTATACAATTTATTATAAAACTTTGAATTTCTTTTTAATTTGACATGTAAAAGGTTTTTTTTGCAATAAACTTATTATTATTATTATAAGAGACGAGTACTGGACCTTGTTCTTATTAAAGAAATTCTGCAGGCAGAATTAGAGAAGAAGAAAAAAAGATTACAGAAACTATTTTCGCATGAGCCACAACCGCTTATTGAAAGGCATAATATATATATGAGAGAGTGTATGACAGCTGAAGAAAAAACATCATTCAGAAAGCATATATAAGGGTTTCCCGAAACTGCAAGATTGCAAATATCATGGATAAGAACGATTAGTACAAACGAGAAGTAAGTGAGAGACAAGTAAGAGAGATCGTGATGAAAGTATTCAAGACGTAGTCAACACTGTACTTAATGACCCCGGCAACAAATCCATAAAAATTCAAAATTGCGATAAAGGAGATTGAAATGGACAGATTAAATCCAAAAAAGCTCCAGAAATAGATGGTGTACCAAGCAAGAGACGCAAGATGTTTCCCGAAATTACAAGATAGCAAGTTATGTGATGTTTTTATTAATCCTAAAATCAAAATACAACCCGTTCGAGATAACAGTTTGTCCGGGTTATCCAAAATTATGGTAAGGATTCTACTTGAACTGCTACAAAAAGAAGTTGAAGTACCAATTTGGGTTCAGGGTACGTAGAGGAAGTGCACAATTCATTAGCACATTAAAACTTGTCCAAAAGAAAAGAAAGCAGTGCTATTAGATGTTGAAAAACTTTATGAGAGTCCGTCTGGAAAGATAGCTTGCTGGCAAAAGATAGATAAGAACTTGCAGTTTCTGTCTAAAAAACTTGTAGGTGAAGATGAGGAATAAAAATAAACCCATCTCACGTTCTTAACTATTTACTCTGCTTTATAATATTTGTATACTTAAATAATTTTTTGGCGACTATGACAAAAATCAAGACATAATTGTCTCAATTAGCAAATGATACAGGAATAGTGCCCAAATTGAAGGGAGGTGACTCGACTGAATATGCAAAATTGAAGCAACACTGAATACACGTAGGGAAATATATATGGACTAGGTGAAAAATTGAAACAATTATTACCGTTATAGTCCTTGCAATCGATATCCTAAGGCGACCAATATTGGGAGAGTTATAGAGCTGGTCTGCTTATTTATCTTATAACTTACTTTTACAAATTAAGTCTAATTAAAGATTATAGCTGGGTTACTCCAGATGTAATTGAGGCTGGGGATAATCTAAAATAGAAAACATAAGAAACAAACAATTAAAATAAAATAAACGAAAGAAAAAGCACAAAGTTCACTAGTCAACAAATTTAAACTTTTTTTTCTGCATCTCTGCTTTATAAGTAGGTGGATTTTACTAACTTTGGGATGCTGAGTTAAAATCAATTTTTGTCTATCACATCACATTTCCTATATACACAGAATCAGTGTTTTAGAACTTAATATTATTTTATATGTACAGTTAGCACATAGACTGATGTCTAAATTAGAAAAAAAATTAGCCAAAATTAGAATGTTTAAATTAGGTCGCAACATATTTTCAACTTTAATTTTCTTTGGTGTTTACAAAATGTGACAACGGTGTTCTTCTTTGGTTAGCCGTTCCATCACTCTCCCTAACAAGATCCCAGCAGTAGTTAGTTGGTCCATTGTAAGGATGCTTGGTAAAATCGCTCGATTTTTGAGAAATAAATTTTTGAAATGATCGACAATTTTCTCGAACTTTGCAATTTTCGCCGATTAAGTTTTAAAAATTCGTATAAAATCCATTTCTTGGAATATGAGTATGAAAATTTCCCAAAGTGTTAATAAGAGTGTCCTCTTTCCAATGAACCAAGCCGTTTTGAAAAATAACTTTTAGTTTTTGAGAAAACAACATTTGAAGTTTTGATAAAATTTTCGATGTTGCAATTTTCATCGATAACTAATATTCGATATCCGGCTTTTCGCAAAATCACTATCCGTTCCATCACTAATGTAGATCATCTATCTATATTATATATATTATAGTTCTGACAATTTGGCAGGTACTTTTTCTGTACACTACACTGACCAGAAAAATTTGACGTTAATTCTGATTAAAAAACACTACATTTTTCAGCTTCAAGTTTACTAATAGAGTAATAGATTCTTCATTAAGAGAGTATGCCACCTTGGAGACCCGAAAATAAAGATAAATTTAAGATTTCTTTGCAATACGGAATGAAAATATTGATTTTTGACGAAACGGTGTCGATATTACTAGAGGTGTTATATTTGCTAATAAAAACATGTATAAAAATGGTTGCAAAACAGACAACAGATGCATTCACAAACGGCTACATACATTCCTAGAGTAAGATGATACAAACTTAATAACAAAAAGAAATTTTAAATCCATTGAAAAATGTGGGAGTTATCATGCGCATAGATTGGAAGAATATGGTTTTCAGAAAGACGTTTATCTCCAACTGGCAGCAAAAACATACTTTATGCCTATGCTATCCATTTTCGGCAGTAAAAGGACATTTTATGCTACTGTTCTAGTAAACTGTGGATTTGAGGCAGGTAAAGTACTCTACCTAACTTTACTAGCAACTTGCAGACTACGTGTTGAAGGCTGATACTCTTTACACCATCTGCTGGTGGAGTGCAGTGAGTTGAGGGAAGAGGAGATGGATTGGAAGTAGGTAAAAAGACAATAAAACAATAACTATATTAACTTTTTTTAATTTCACCAAACTTATTTTGACACGTTTTCAAATAAATTAATTACATAAATCACTAATTAAAAATGTTATTTACATAAAATTGTTATTTATTTCACAAATATTCCAATTATAATTTCATCAACTTTCTTAAATAATAAACCAAACAATTTCTATTAATAACCCATAATAAATCACACAGTCAATTTAAAACAGCTTTAAATCACACGACATAGAAACTGTCAATTTATTTATCTTTAATCTGTTGTTCTTAGATTAACAAGATTGATGACCACCTTTCATCAACACACAAAGCCCCACATTGTCGCCGCTTGGCGTGTTTGTTATTTCGGACCTCACGAAGCTACCTAATGTGGGTTAATAAATGAAAATACCAGGCCAGATAAGCATAGACAAGCAAAAGCTCGGGGCCGTTCGATCTAATGTTTTAACTTGTAGCGCATGCACCTACGACTTCGGCGAAGGCGGTATTAGACCACTTTCGATAGTCCGTCCAGATACCCGCCACGACTGTCACTTTCTCTCCAAGTCGTTTGAAAAGAGGAGGTTCTTTCAAGCTCTACACTCAAAGGAGGGGTTGTTTCGTTCGGGCAAACGGTTCTTCTCTAAAACCCATCAAGTCTTCTTTAGACTTCTAACTGCAAAGAGTTTTCATTGTGTTTGAAGAAGTTATAGATTTTCGTCGAATTTGAAGACGACGGTTGATTTTAGTATTCCGCGGTGTGCGGTTTGTGGTGCTATGAACTGGATGTTGAATGTGCTTTCAATTGTTATTGTTGTTTTTTCGATGTCTACGGCTCAAGTACTAGGTAAAAAATTTATTACTTTAAGTTTTTTTCATCACACACTTACAATTAGTTTTTTAAAATGTATCATAAAAAAATTCAAAAAAGAAATGCAGGAGATAGATGGTATTAGTAATTGATATGTAGAAAGCCAAGATAATTATACGTAATAAGCACAGTGATCGGGACTTTTCCATTTGTGGCTAGTTTCTCGTGCTTAATCTACATATGGGAGATGATTTAAATTGGTTGTGTTGTTTCTATTTAAAATTGTTTACTTACAGAGATCATTTTCGTTTGTTAAAGTAAATTTAGATAATTGCTCCATTTTGTGTAATTAAGTAATTTTAAAAAGAACTAAATATGTGGCGTTAAAAATAATTTAATAACTCCATTATTATCTTACAGATAAACACGTGAATATTCATTTTCACTTCAAAGCGACACAGATATTGACCTGAATATTAATAGGATTTTTTTCGTGACTATCGACTCATTTTAGCGGATTTGATTAGTTTATTGCATGGATTGTGGTTTGCAAAAAAATACATTAAGTTTGAATAGAATATTAATTTTAACAGACAATCTATACATGGGAATCGTAAAGATGTGTATATTTAGAAAGTGAACAAGCTGATGTCCCCTGGGTTACGATGTGGTTCTAGAAAGCTAATTGATAGAAAGGGATGATTTTGGCTACACAAACTTTTTGTTCTTTTCAACTCTTCCTTCAAATTCCTGTAAAATGCGATAAGAATCAATGACTAAGAAAACTCCAACGTAGAATCTTCACTCTCTAGAACTTCTCTTGTATTTTATGCTAACAAAGCCACTCACGCCTATTTTATAACCACCCTTAATATCACTTATGGTTTAACCGTCTTAGAATGGGATTTTCAACTTATTCGGTGTGTATAAAAAAACTTTTGTATATGGATCAACCTGGTTGGAATATAAATTGGTAAGAATCTTGCTTGGAATCGTTCAATGACACAACAATAGTTTCCTCAATACGAACAGCAATGGGATTAAACGGAGAAAGTATCGGATATAGAACTTCTTTTTGGATACCTAGACTCGATTTGGTTATGGATTATGCTTATTGCTTCAATATTGACAATTTCCATTCACAACATTTTGTTTGATGGGTACCAATTTTTGAGTAGCGATACATTTTTGTAATATGCACGGTTTATCAACATTTTTGGAACTTTCTATTAATTAACTAAAAAATGGTGCTGGCTAATATGAGACTAATTAATAATAATAATAATAATAGACTTTATTGCCAAACCACACAGCAATTACAGAAATAAAACAATATAATATAGCAAGATAATATAACCAAAAATAAAAACAATATATGATTCGAAAGAAAAAAAAAAGATACAAAATAAAACTATCTAAACAAAAGAGAGCTATTATAGCATAGTGCGGCAAGCAATTCGAATTATGGATGGTATTTCTTTGCTTCATTATAAACAAGTTTTGTACACAACATTTTTCTTGATCAGTTTTAGTTCTCGAGTAACAATAGACTCTGTAATGTAACCATCCATTTTAACATTTTGAAGATTTTCGCTTTATTCTTGGAAAATTACAATACCCATTCTCGATCTGGTTATGGATCATGGTTTTTTCTTCAATATTAGTAATTTTCATTCATAGCACTTCTCTTGATCGGTTCCTACTTTCGAATTGCGACACATTCTTGTAATGTAAACCATCCATATCAACATTTTTCGAAGTTTCGCTTTACTAGCAAGAAAATGGTGATGGCCAAGGTATAACTAATTATGGATTACATTTCTTTGCTTCATTATAAACAATTTTTGTACACAACATTTTTTCTGATCAGTTTTAGTTCTCGAGTAACAATAAATTCTGTGATGTAAACCATCCATTTTGACATTTTAAAGATTTTAGCTTTATTCTTGGAAAATTACAATACCCATTCTCGATCTGGTTATGGATCATGGTTTTTTCTTCAATATCAACAATTTTCATTCATACTACTTTTCTCGATAAGTTCCTATTTTTGAATAGCGATACATTCTTGTAATTTAACCATCCATATCAACATTTTTCGAAGTTTCACTTTACTAGCAAGAAAATGGCGATGGCCAAGGTATAACTCGTTATGGATTACAGTTCTTTGGGTCATCATAAACAGTTTTTGTACACAACATTTTTCTTGATCAGTTTTAGTTCTCGAGTGACAATAGACTCTGTAATGTAAACCATCCATTTTGACATTTGGAAGATTTTCGCTTTATTCTTGGAAAATTACAATACTCATTCTTGATCTGGTAATGGATCATGGTTTTTTCTTCAATATCAACAATTTTCATTCACAGCACTTTTCTTGATCGGTCCCAAGTTTTGAATAGCGATACATTCTTGTAATGTAAACCATCCCTACCAACATTTTTCGAAGTTTCACTTTACTAGCAAGAAAATGGCGATGGCCAAGGTATAGCTCGTTATGGATTACAGTTCTTTGATTCATTATAAACAATTTTTATATACAACATTTTTCTTGATCAATTTTAGTTCTAGAGTAACAATAGACTGTATAAGGTAAACCATCCATTTTCGCTTTATTCTTGGAAAATGACAATACCTAGGTGCGATCTGGTTATGGATCATGGTTTTTTCTTACACCGATGCTTCAAAGACAGTTGGATACTGACTAGGTATAGGCATTAGTGGACCAAGTAACCGCATTAAATTGCCCCTCAGCTCGGACAGAACCATTTTTCAAGCATTTTCTGCACCATTTTAAACCTAGAAAAGAGACAGAAAGGTGCATCCATAAACATTTTCACAGACAGTCAGGCCGCCCTAAAGGCAATTCAGGTCTACACGTATGTCTCTGCACTGATCAGAGAATGTGCCATCAACCTGAGAAAACTCGCTAGCAGTAATGATGTTACTCTATGGTGGATTCCAGCACAGAGACATTGAGGGCAATGAAAAGGCGAACAAGCTGGGTAATGAGGCAGAGAAGGCCCTTTATTGGACCCCAACCCGGTTATGGACTACAAAAAACCACTTAAAAGAGGTAATCAATAGTTGGGAGGCCTCAAAGGTAGCCTTACGCTGGAAAGAACTTCCAGGTCACTGACAAGCGAAGAGTATGATAATATCATCACAAAACAAAACCAAAGAGAACACTAAATCACTAAAATACATACACGGCATCTCTTCCACATTGAAGAAGCTGAGGATCAAACTTGTTGACTTTGTAACAACGAGTCAAAGACTGCCGAACATATACTGTGTGAATACATGACACAAAATTTTCGGTAAAGTACACCTGACACCTATCGACATAAAGGAACAAGACCTTGAAGCAATACTTAAGTTCATCAAGGACCTACATTTGCCCTAAACTTTTGGAGGGCTTAAGTTGTAATAGATCTATTGATTCCAACTTTTTTTTATCGAATATAAATCATCCATATCAACATTTTTGGAGTTTCTCCTTTATTACATAAAAATGGTGATGGCTTGGCTGGAATTAATTCAGCACCTTAGAGGTAAGGTGTGTTAAGTCACATTTTTTGCGAAATGAGTTATCTCCACCATGTGTATTTGTTTAAACATAAAGTCCACTTTCAAATCTCTCTCCTTAACAATTTCGAGTTTGCGACTTAACATATCTTACCTCTGAGCAGCTGAATTATGTCTTATATTTCTATGGTTCATTATAAACAATTTTTGTACACAACATTTTTCTCAATAACTTTTGGTTCTTAAGTAACAATAGATGTTTTGACCTAAACCATACATTTTGAAAGTTTTCGCCATATTCTTCCAAAATGGCGATACCTAGGTTCGATCTGGTTATGGATCATGCTTGTTACTTCAATATCAACAATTTTCATGCACAACATTTTTCTTGACCGGTTCCAATTTTAGAGTAGCAACACATTTTTTTAATATAATCCATCCATATCAACATTTTTGGAACTTTCCATTTATTACATAAAAAATGGTGATGGCTAGACTGGAACTAATTATATCTTATGTGTCTATGGTTCATTATTATTTTGACGATTTTCACTATATTCTTCTAAACTGGAGATGTTTTGACTCAATCTGGTTGTGGATCAAACTTTTTGCTTTAATATCAACAATTTTCATTTACAGCATTTTTCTTGATCGGTTCTAATTAATTATGGATATCTTTCTTCTTCTTCTTCCAGTGGCGTTACAGACCAGACTGGGCTTTATCCTCCTTCAAATGTATTCAAATGTCATTCCACTTTTAGAAAAGTTCGTTCATCCATTCGTTCCATATGTCCAGTCCGCTGAAATCTTCGCATCATTACAAATCTCACAACATCCCGTTCCTTGTATAGCTTTCCTCAACCGACTTCTCCTCAATTGGTGCATGTATCGAGAACATCGGTAGATTTCGCTTGCTCATTTTGATTCGGATATAGCATATCCTGTGCTGATACATTTAATACTGGTCACTCGTTGTTGTACTTTCCTGTTGACAATAAATCCATTCATCTGGCCATCTTATTTCTTGCAGAGCCATGATATCCAGTCTGTACTTATCAATTTAATTAAGTGTGTTTGCGAACGCTTGGTTCAGAGTTCTGACGTTCCAGATACACTAATCTTCAAATCCATGTCTGTTACCACGATATTGATGGTAGCCAGAGTAGAATTAATGATAATAAACAATTTTTGTGCACAAAATTATAATAATCTCTCTATGTCTATTAATATTTAAGCTCAAAATTCAAAATTACTTAATAAGATTTATTAAATTCGTGTAGTTGTTACTTAAACAATAATGTAATGAGAAATTCTTCCGTAACTGAATTTATATCAAACTTTCCATTGTTTAGAATGCGGAAGAAATGTGAGACGTTCCCGACAGCCTCGGCAAACAACACTGGGTCACGGTCGCATCATCAATGGGAAGAGAAGCGTTCGAGGAGCATGGCCTTGGCAGGTATTATCTTAAGCATACTTAACTAAACCGGTAAGGATAAATCAACAAGAAACGAAGACAGGTATCTTTTACGGATCGAATTGTATTGCGTACGTTACATAAAGATCATTGAACTACGTCTTCATCTAACATACCAGAAGATAAATTTGTTACCTAAATATTTAAAATCCATCAAATATTTTCATTCAACCGTCTATTACATAACCGGTGTGGTTCTGCAGGTTTCGTTGCAACTCCTCCATCCACAGTTTGGATTTCTAGGTCACTGGTGCGGAGGCGTTCTCATCTCGCCCGAATGGATCTTAACGGCAGCACACTGTATTAGCAAGTAAATCTTATTTAGATAAAACACAACATATAAAATAAAATGTAAAGGTTGTGTTTAATTGTAATTCCAGTGATTTATTTAATTTACCTCTTGCTGCATTATGGACTGCCGTGTTAGGTGAATACGATCACGACCAAGAAGAAAACACCGAGCAAAGAATTCCCGTTGACAAAATCGTTTTACATGAAAGATTTCATAATTTTCAACATGACATAGGTATTTCTATGTTTCTGTATGCATATAATATTATAATGTTGTAATTGTAGCGTTAATGAAATTATCAACACCTGTAAAACTAACAGGAAATCGAGTACGGTCCATTTGTTTGCCTACTAAAAGATTATCTTATAACGAAACCGATTTGTGTATAGCTACAGGTTGGGGAAGAGCTAAAGAAGATGGAAAATTAGCTGGAAAACTTTTAGAGGTAAAAATTCCCGTACATGATAATGCAGTTTGTAAGAAAAAATATGAACATGCTGTTCCAATACGATCTGGACATTTATGTGCTGGCCATTTAGATGGATCTTCAGGTACATGCGTTGTAAGTAATTAATCTCATTACTATAACATATTCTAACTAATAAGTAAACTATCACTAGAACTAGAAACTTTCGGGTTAAGTAGTGCGTCTTTTGAAAAAGTGTTTGACGTTTTGGACGCCATGTTTCAACCTTCTTCAGAAACAAGTTCGAAGTGACGAAATTAGGACAATAAATACGTAAAAAGATTAAATTAGTGTCTGTGGATAAGGTTTCGTTGAGTCTTCTCTATTCATGTTGTTCCCATGTCGATGGATCTCTATCGCCTCTCTCATCATTCTTTGGAAGTAATATCCGGTTGATGCTAGCACTTTAGTTTTGTCAAACTCCATGGTGTGTCCTCCTTTGTGGCAATGCTCCGCGACTGCAGATTGTTAGATTCTTGTTAGAGCATTCGATGTTACGTCCAGTTTGGCCAACGTAATAGACTCCCTTTAATGGGGTTAGTTTGTCTTTGCCTTCGGAAGAACGTTTAAGAACGATATCATTCTTCTTCAAACACCTCGTAATTCGCTCAATCACACCTGAAACATAAGAAAGGCAGATAAAACCGGCTGGTGTAGTACTTACCGAGTCTTCCCTCTGTTTGCGTTGATGGCTCGTTGAATATCCCTCATTGTATAGTCGTTCTTCTGCAGTCTTGTAGAAAACTGTCTTCTTTCTTTAGATTTTCTTTATCGCATATCCTCTCTGCTCGCTGGAATAAGGCTTGACTCACGGACCTTTTCTATTGTGACAGCAAAGGTTGCAAGATGGCATCCGAAACGTCAAACACTTTTTCAAAAGACGCACGACTTAACCCGAAAGTTTCTATAGTTCTAGTGATAGTGCTACTATTAGTTCTAGTTTTAGTTTAATTAACATCGGCCGTGAAAGCCTTCGCACAGTGTGTTAATTAATTAATAATTATCGTACCGACGTCATCATTGCAAGTATGCAACCACAACTGTGATATTGGTTGCATACTTGCAATGATGATGTCGGGTACGTTAATTAATTAACACATTGTACTTATATTAAATAATAACTATTAACAGGGAGATTCTGGAGGTCCTCTTCAATGTGCATTAAGTGATGGGAGATGGTTTTTAGCTGGGATTACTTCATTTGGATCAGGATGTGCTAAACCAGGATTTCCTGACGTTTACACAAGATTATCTTATTATTTACCGTGGATAAAGACAAAAATGAAAGTTAAACCCCCGAAAAAGTAGAATATTTAGATTATATCATTGTATATATTGTAAATATTACTGTAAAATAAACTCTCAATTAAATCAAGCGCCATCTAGTGTTTTTAACAACTATATTAAATTACAGAACTCTATACAAAATTTATTAAACATAACCTATCATTTCACCATATCTTGAACTGTACAGATTAAACAAAAAGAATGATCCAAAAAATCGAAAATAAAGACAAATTCGAAGACATAATTGAGTAAGTAACTCAAAAACATATAAATTATAATTATAACTTGTCGTTGATTTTAGGAATGATCATTTATCTATAATTCATTTCTCGGCTGATTGGGTTGAACAATGCAAACAAATAGATGAACTTTTAGAAGCTTTGGCAAAACAAAACGCTACATCAACAACAAAGTTTCTTAAATGCGATGCGGAACAGTTATCAGATGTGTCACTTAAATACAAAATTGAAGCTGTACCAACTGTAATACTCTTTAAATCTGGAAAAGAATTAGAACGTGTCGATGGCGTAAATCCCGGTAAATTGACGACATCCATAAAGAAGTATGCTGAAATAGAAGCGATCGAAGCTAAAACGTTAGAGGAACGATTAAAATCGTTAATAAATAAACACAAAATCATGCTATTTATGAAAGGAAATCCCACAACTCCAAGATGTGGTTTTAGCAGGCAAATTATTGAGATCCTCCGTAATGTTGGGGAGGATTTCGATACTTTTGATATTTTGGAGGATGAAGAAGTTCGGCAAGGTCTTAAAACATTCTCTGATTGGCCCACATACCCCCAATTGTATGTTAAAGGAGAACTTATTGGTGGATTAGACATTGTCAAAGAGTTAGTGGCTTCTGGCGAACTTTCAGATACCTTGAAGGGTTAATTAGTTTTTTTTTGCATTTAGAACATGCAGATGCATTTCAATAAAACATTTTCAAATTCCTTTTTTAATTTATTTAATGTAAATTTGGTTAATTGGTGCTAATAAATCTGCGATTTTAGTGCCCTCTTTTATTTTTTTTTTTTAAATAAATTTACAGTTATCTGCACTAAATAAGTTTTTATTTGTTTATTAAAATTATTAATACATTATCTTTTTAAACACATTAAAAGAGTTTTAAAAACATTTTTAATTCAAATCGTCATATTATATAAATATAATTTCAATATGATGAATTAAAACCTGCCATCTATTCGTATTGTAACAACTTGAATTAAACGACTTGTTTTAAAAGTACTTAGTTGTTTTATTATTATAAAAATATCTTACACTCCATCTTATACATGTTGTCTCTCACATCTTCTAAAAGGACCGAGAGCCCTCTATCGACACACCACGACATCTATCTTAAAGTTAACTGACTAACGTACTACATCCCCCCTCCCAAGTCTATACCCAACAAAGTCCCTCAAATGTGACGGTTCCTTTATTACTCTACCCGACCTCGTTTGCACAGATGAATCTGACGGTCTTGCTATCGGTTCACAATCTTTATTAACAACAACCTTACTTAAACTAGGCTTAGTACGATTTTTTACATATATGTCACTATCGGGAATGTTGTCAATTTCAGTTAATTTAGGTCTAATTACTACATCATTATACGATTTTCGGAGATGCACACTATTGCGTCTAATATGCCTACCTGTATCTTTTTGTACAATGTATGATCTAGGTGTATCATAAACATCCACTATTTTACCTGGAGCCCATGTTTTATTATCTAAATTTTGAATTAACACATTATCATCTTTATTAAAACTTTTAGGTTCAACTGATGTTTTATTATAACATGTTTCTGATTTTTTCTGATTATTCAACAATTGTTCATATACGTTATTACTCATTTGCGGTTTTAAACTATTTTTAGTGCAAGGTAATTTATCCCTTAATGTTCTAGAAAATAACATTTGCGCAGGTGAATAGGACATACCCGTAATGGGCGTGTTCCTATACGTTAACAATGCCAAATATATATCTTGATCACTTTCTAAACACTTCTTCAACAATCTTTTTACTACACCTACTCCCCTTTCCGCTAAACCATTCGACTTAGGATATCTTGGACTAGATGTTATTACTTTTATTCCCCAACTGTCAGTAAATTTTTTAAAGTTGTAACTAGAAAATGGCATATTATCAGAAATAATAATTTCTGGAATTCCATGAACAGAGAATATTTGTTTTAATCTATTTATTACGTTACCAGCTGTTTTATTTTCCAACTCTTTAACCTCAATCCACTTACTGTAGTAGTCAATTACAAGCAAATAGTCATGATTTTTGAACTGAAACAAGTCCATGCCAACTTTATTAAAGGGTAATTCCGGAATCTCATGACCAATAAACGTTTCTTTTGGATTCGATAAGTTGTATTTCTCACATACTTTGCATTGTCTTATAAGATTTTCTATATCCAGTGTAATTCCAGGCCAGTATAATAACGATCTAGCTCTAGCCTTACATTTATCAATTCCTAGATGACCTGTGTGTATTATATTAAGCATTTCTTTCCTAAGTGTTTTCGGAATTATAACTTTTTTACCCCAGTACAAAATTCCATTCTGTACCGTAATGTCATTTCTCAATTTATACAGTATTTTCAGTTCCTTACCTTCAACATTCTTATTGTTTTTAGGAAACCCTTCATTGTACCACTCAATATATGTTTTTAGATTTTCGTCCTTTCGACCTTCTTTTTGTAGTTGTAACAAACGACTATCAGATATAGGTAATTCAGCACTCATGCAATGTACTACATCTAATAAGCTCTTATCTTCTTGTCCAGTATTTTTTAAGTAATTTCTTGANCCAGAAAAGACACTGCCCCCCAAGGTCTATAGAACATAAGGTTACCCAATACCGATTCTCCTCCTCTGAGAGGCAAGGTGGGTCAGTGACGTAGCTGGTTCTATGAACAACACAACACCACCTATACTGTGGTACAGTCTATATAAAATATTTAAACCTCGCATCGTGTTGTCACGTATAGGCACATGTATAGGCTATCTTTTATTCTGACTGTATCGAACCAGTGACGTCAATTTGCGGGGTAATAATCGATACTACAGAGGCATAGGGAATGAGGTAACCTTATGTTCTATAAACCTTGGTATAAATAGAAATGACAGTTTAATCACAATTTTTAGGTTAAATTTTAAGGTTAGAAATTCAAAACGTCAACGTATAATTTATAATTTCTTTAAAATAAATCTAAAGATGTCTCAAAACTTACACGGTACGTTTGTGTCTGAGAAAATCAATAAAATTCGTTGGCGTCCTGATCCTTTCGATAATGCCCATTCTTTTATAACCGGGAGTTGGGACAACGAAACGAATCACATCAAACTTTGGGATTTTAAAGAATCTCCTGAAGATGCTGATATTTATCCTTACGTTGTAAGTGAGTATAATTACGATGGAGATGTTACCGAATGTAGGGTAAGTATTAAAAAGAACTTTAAAAAGTTTTTTTTTAATAATATTGTATCAGTTCTTAAGCCCTGATCTGTTTGTTTCTTCTTCGACAACGGGGTCGGTTTCTTTAATGAGAATAAATGTAGATGAGAAAGCGGTGACTAATATTAGTGAAGAGATTGAGTGGAAACATATTCATCAATTCAAGAATGGTGAAAAGAGTTCTTGTATATCTTTTGCTGTTTATGATAATGATTTTGCAACTGTTGGTGAAGATGGAAATATTTTTTTGTTAACAGCATTAAGAAAAGAACCAGCTAGAAAAATTAGTAAATAATTCTAAAACACTCCTTTATATTCATATTAATTATATTTCGCTTTTTAGTTAATGCTGATAGTTGTTCAATTCACTGTGTAACTTTTTTAAAACACAGTGAAATATTAACTGGTAACCTTCGTGGCCATATGAAAATTTGGGACTTAAGATCATCATCAAACACAGAGAGCAGTTCGTTTATGATGAGTGGGGAACAAATTGCACCAACTTGTTTAACATTTCATCCAACTCAAAGACACATGGTAGTGGCTGGTGATGAAGAGGGTTCTTTAACAGTTTGGGATTTGCGCCACAACACCTACCCCTTAAATTTACTCAGTGCTCATTCAGATAGCGTAACCGAACTTCAATTTCATCCTGATCACCCAGATCAATTATTTACATCATCATCCTCAGGAGAATTATGGCATTGGATGGTTAATAAACAAAATCGTTTATTAATTAATGATGATGAACCCGATTCGAATGTATGGCTTTTAGGAGATTCCATCAAAAATAAATTGGAAGTATATGCTTTGATGTCCAAGTTACATATGCCAATTAATACTTTAGATTTAAATAGAAATAGAATTTTGTGTGGATGTGATAATGAGGCGATTTATTTAATTAGTAATATTAAGCTTTATTAAATAATTGTTTTATAATTCTAAATAAAGTGATTAATTTACATTTATGATGATCTATTATTTTAAAATATGTAATGTTGCTCCTAATAAACTAATTACCTTATTGAACCTTTTGATTTAGATTCTTTGTAAATATATCATTGCCAATTTGCTGTAGTATTTAAAAGAACATTGATTTTTAGACGATTAACGAGCTTTTGAAACATGAAGTTACAAAATAGGGCGAAGCATCAATCCAGATCCTAAGATCTATGGACTGGTTTGTTATGTGTCAATATAATTTTTGAAATGTAATTTTATATTTACAAATGTGGATGGATCCTGGAAAGAGATTATAAATATTAGTAGTGATTAAGGTCTAATTGCTGTGATTAAAACACACCAATCAAAATTTAAGTGTCTGATACGTCAAAAGATTGTCGCTTCTTTTGATTTCTGCTTCGCCTGGAGAGGTTTTTGCGACGAGGTGAAGAGTACCGCTGAGACCTCACGCCTTAACGAGATACTATCTCGTGGCCAAAAACACAGTTGTGACATTCTAAAAAAGAACGACGGCAGTTTTCAACACTGCCACATCAAGTGGAACTAAACATGACTGGCAGATAGTGCCAAATTGTCTTGTGTTCCATGGAATCGAAGAGGGTGAGGAAATAGAGAAAACAAAGTGTTGGATGTAAGATGTAAGTCATGATAGATAGATGCCATCGTTTGGGAAAGCGCGTTAAAGATGGGAACACCAATCGAGCAGTGATAATTTAGGATAGGGTTACAACTGTGGTGGAGGAAAAAAAATGTACGGCCACGAAAGCATAAAAAGTAATAGTAATAAAAAGTAAAGTAATAATTTTGCTTAGTATGGTTGTTTATGGTCTTTCAAATTCGATGTTCGAATAGGCTAACTTGGAAACTATAAGAGGTAGAAAAAAAGTAGCTTACATGTCATGATCTCGTTTTTCGAGAAACTGCTAATGCCGAAAATCTCAAAGCGGTATCGTCTTTTGTTTTTCCCCTAGAGGCCAAAATTGAAAATATCATAAAACCAGCAAGTGCAATTATCTTGGATATTATTATAGGTGGAGTATTATAACTAAGACATTATATGGACACTTTTTTATAGAGAATTTCATCACGTAGTCAAAAAAAATTTTTCGGTTTTAGATTTTGAGATATTGTGACAAATTTCGTTTTTTTAAATATAAACAACCACTAATTATTCGCTTATTAAATTCGTTATTTTTTTCTGATTACAAAAATATGGGGTTAGATAGGTCTATTTCTTATTGTTTTAGAATAAAGCTAAAAATAATCTTTTTCTTGGTGTCGTCAAAGAAATTAAATTTACAGTTTCCTGTAAATTACGTTACTATAACTAAAAATTATTCTACTAAAAATTTATATAAAATTTACTTTATTTTCTAATACGTAACATTCTAACATGTTAAACTTTTCGTAATTTTCTTAATCCATCTTAAAAAACAGGATTCTTAATTTGACACTTCAAAACATTTTTTAATCAATTTTCTAAGACGATTTCAAAAGTTAAGAAAAATTTTAATATTATTTTACGATTAATTAAATCGTTTTTTTATTAAGTTTTTTTAATTACGTTTTGAAACATGTTATTTTATTTTTGTTTATGTTGATACCTTCACAACGGAGAGTTTAAGAAAAAAATTTTTTAAGCAAAAAGTAATAATCAGTTTCTCAAGTTGTTTAAGACTTTGAAAGAAAAAAGTATATGTGCCATTTGAAAAAATAAAAATGACGTCAGAAGGACCTTTAAGCAACCCTGAAAAAAATTCTGCTCACCAAAAAATGTTTACTTGAAACTTTTTTCGATTCGAGTTTTTGTTTTTGAGATATAAGCATATGTCATTTTAAATGAAACACCCGGTATAATTGTGTATACCTATGTATAATTATGTACATATAAAATTGTTTAATATATTTTAATCCTGTTTTTAAGAGGTGACATTAAATGAAAAACATAAAAAGATACATTCTATCAACCAATAATGCAGTTTTTGTATTTTTTTTTCTCTTAAATTGCATAATAATAACAAAACTACAGTGCTCTACACTCGACTTTCTCACAGTTGTATACGACTAAAATATCTTTGATTATATATAATATGGATTGAGCTAACTGAATATATCTACTAACAAAAATGTTGCTCAAGGTGAATAGACGCAGATGGAAAGCGATAATGTGAAAGTGTAACAAAGATAGATATATTATATGTCAGTACGCTTCTATATCTATCTCACTTCTATCAGTACACCCATTATATGGCAGTACGCTTCTATGTCTATCTCGGTTCGATCACCTTGCGCAAGCAAGCACCTATCTCTCTCGTTGGCTCAATCCATATTATATATAATCAAAGTAAAATATAAATTTTTGGAAAAATACTTTTAATAAAGGCACTAAATACAAAATAGTTGTAGAATTTTCTTTATTTTAACTCCTATATATAAAATCGCATGTGGAGACTTAACAAATAAGTAAAATACTACTTCCGCTTTCATATTTTGTTAATTTGTTTATCAATTCTCTTTTTTGTTACTTTGTAAATATAGTTTAAGTGTGGTTAAAACACTTGTGTTTTGATTTCCCTTTTCCTGACAGAGCCTTTCCCGCGCGCTTTATATTTAGTTTTCATTGATTTGCTAAGATCAATTAGGGGTCCTGCAGACTAAGAATTAGGAAGCGCGAAATACTGTTTCTGGTGGCAGCGGGTATTACCAAAGGTCGAGATCGTTGAGAGGCGGCCTCACCACAGCACAGTATTCTGCTTGTTATATACACTAGTGATATTTGGGATCTTGAACATGACACTATCATGGCAATAGGAAAAAATCATGAAGAGGCTGAAGAAAAGTTACAATCCTCTATGGACAAAATAAATACTTGAACCAGAACTTGGCGTATCAAGTTGAATGAAAGCAAGTCTGTAAGTCTAACTCGGCGAAATACCTGGACATGACCATAGACGCAAGGCTACGCTGGAAAGCCCATGTCAAGAAATGTTTAATCTAAAATATAAAAGAATGTACTGACTGCTCCAAGGAAGTCCAAGTTACCTACAATAAACTGCTCCTTTATAAGCAAGTATTAAAAGCAGTATGCTTATACGGCCTACAACTTTGGAGCTGTGCTAGTAAAAGTAATATTCAAATCATTCAACATAGTCGATGCATGTAGTAAATAAGAACCCATACTGGTTCAAACATCAAATTTCCTTAGATACGAAGAAAGAAGAACTGATTTCTATATAAACGATATCTTTATTTAATAAATAACACATATTATTAAATAATTTATTAAACACTACCAAAATAAATGAATTTTGAACAATAGCCTTAAATTATTCATTCAACAATTTCGTATAGACTATTTTAAGCATAACTGTAAGTCATCAATAACATCGTGAATCACATCAACATGTCGACTCTGAAAGGGTTCGCGTTTTATCAACTCTTTAAGGCCATAAACGTCCTCTTTTATTTTATTCAAAACTTTTTCCAAATCAACGTTTTCATCCAACTTCATTTTTTTAATTTTCGGCTCAACACTCCATTGTACGCATTTATGAAAACTATCCGATTTCGCTAAATCAGCCGTTTGATTTAAAATCAAATTCGAAATATTCATAGTATTAACAGAATTATCGTTATTAGATTTTAAAAAAGTTTCATATTTAGTGTTTAAATCGAAATTTTTTTTGAGTGTGTTCTCAAGAAAAGTTTTTTGCTTAACATTAGGACATTTTCTTATTAAGTTGAGAATTTCATTTGTTAAAACGGTTTGATTTGCCGTTAATAATGCGGTGATCATTTCTTCGATGTGAAATAATATTGTGTTGGAGTTTTTCTGGGTCGGGTTAAATATTAATTTCTTTATTATTTTAATTGAATGGATTTTTGATGTGTCGTTGACTTTTATTAAGGATTGTAACGTTTTCAAGATCTAAAAATAAAAAAATAATGAAAGTTGTATTAATTAATGTTATGGATTTACTTCGATTAATTGTTGTTCATTAAATTTCGATATTAACGATAAAGTTAAGTTAATCACTCCTTCTAAGAGTAAATTAAAGAAAGGAGAATCAATGATGTCTTCGTTAAACTCTAAAATCCACATTTCAATAAGTAAGGAAGATAATTTGTTTAGATTTGTTGATAATTCATTGGATGGGATGGTGGATGTTACGTTTAATAAATTGACCTAAAAAATAATCTGTTAATTGTTAACAAAACGAAATTATTTTGTTATTTATACAAGATTTAGGTATTGATCCAAGGAACAACTTCGCAATAAAAATAATTCACCGTATTTTGTAAGCTCCACACATAAAACGTCCACATCTTGCTTAAAACGAGGCGACATGGATACTAAATCCAATCCGATTGATTTCCATAAAACCAGATTTTTATTAACGGGATATTTTAGTAGAAATTGCATTCTATAATCGTTGCTTAAATTCATAAATAGCTTTCTTAAATAGTTTGTTAAAAGATAAACCAGAGGGTTTACATAAATTTTAGCGTTTAACAATAACATAAATCTATCTATTAAGACACATAACACTTCATAATTGTAACTTAAAGGAGTTAATCTGAAAATTAAAAGTAAATTTAAAAGAAATCTTGCGGAAAAATTAATTTACTTGATAACTTCCAACCAAATTTCTTGACAAAAAACAGAAACCATAACATTTTTATTAAAAATATTCCTACACAATTCGTTTTCAACGCACGAAAAGTTCTTCTCGTCTAAATTACTTATCACAAGAGACAATTTAATGATTAATTCTTGGTAAATTGAGGTTGATTGTAAAATGAAATCGGCTAAAACAACTATGATAATAGGGTAGGGGGGGTATTATAGTACAATAAAACCTCGATATAACGATATAAACCATTAATATTATCAATTTCAGCGAAACGCAATCATTGGGTCGCGAAAATAATCATTAATACTTATTACGATACTATTCGTTTAAAAAGGATTGTAAAAAAAACTCTTATTATATATTTTTTTAATCCTGAATGATTTTAATATGCAGTATACTTCACAAAACAACACTGTTGATAAATAGTAGTGATGGAACGGATAGTGATTTTGCCACATTATTGCGATATTTATATGTCAACTTATTTGGATCCAAGATACAAAATGAACTTTTTTGATGCTGATTAACTAACTCACGAAGCAACTCTAAAAAGAGAATACTTTAATTAATAATTGGTGATATTTCCACAAGGATCATCCAAAAAATGAATCGATGAAAATTGCAACATCGAAAATTTTATCAAAACTTCAAATAATGTTTTCTCAAAAACTAAAAGTTATTTTTCAAAACGTGTTAGTTCATTAGAAAGAAGACATTCTTATTATCACTTTATGAAATTTTCATACTCATATTCCAAGAACTGGATTTTATACTAGTTTTTAAAACTTAATCGGCGAAAATTGCAAAATTCGAAAAAATTGTGGATCATTTCAAAAATTTATTTCTCAAGAACTGAAAGTGATTTTTCAAAACGGCTTTTTGCATTAAAAAGAGGATACTTTAATTAATAATCGAACGTGATAACAGCGACTGTTCTGCTTAAAAATAAGATATCTTTTTAGTTCTAGGTCTAGTGTTAGTTTTAATGTTAGTGTTAGTCCCAGTTTTAGTTGTTGTTCAGTGCTAGATTATTGTCTATTTTTATTGCACTAAAAGTAGAACTAACACTAGACCTACCAGAAACATTCGGGTTTTATTTGGGGAAACCCGAAATGTTTCTAGTGTTAGCTCTGGTTTTAGATAACTAAAAGTAGAACAAATTAATAAAGAACGCAACGGTGTGGATTAAACTTGGACCGCGTTATGCATCACTTGACTAAGAGACAAAGGAATAATGTTGAGAAAAACGGGATTTTCGTTTTCATCCCTCTGAAACTATTGAAAATTGTTTGGTGCCTGTCCATTTTTATGACAGGTTTATCACTAATGACAGCTATCATAAGCACAGAAGCCGCTTGGTAACTCGTTACGTTTTACGATTATACAGGATGTTTCTGTAAGTCGTGGCATAAAATTATTCACTAAAACTAGAGACAAAATAATAACGATTAGTGTAAAAATTTTTGAAGATAATAATCTAGAGTTTTATTTTGTACTTTTAAACTGGTTTTTCTTTTATATAGGATTTAAGTTTAACCAGTTTCGGCCCTTGGAAGATTCTACAAATAGATTAACATCTCTCATCTTATCCATTTTGCAAACAAGTTTCTTAATATTTCTTTTTGTTTTGTTAAGAAAGATCACATCTCAAAGTCGAAATCAGATTACTAGTTACTAATTTACAAAATTAAAGTTTAAAAAGTTGTAACATGAAATTAAAGACGAAGTGTTACAAGTTTACAGATTAAAATTTAAGAAATATTAAGAAACTTGGGAAAATTCAAGAATCATCGACGATTTTCTTTAATCAATGTGAAATGACCTAAAAAAACACGTTAAAAATAAAAAGAAAGTGCGAAAAAGTGACTAACACTAGATTAACTTCAGTTATAAACCTTCTGTTACATGATAACTAACTTTAGGTTTAAAATGTCAACCTCAGTTTTGACATACTTGTAATCTTCATTAAAAATCCTTTAAAATGAGTACAAACACGACATATTTATCTTCAATATTCATGAAGTTATGGTCAACTTCCGGTTAAGAATGTCAACGTCAATTTTGACATATTTGTAATCGTCGTGAAAAATCCTTTAAAATGAGTCCAAACATGATACGTTAAATTCCAATATTACTCGAGATATAAGCAACATCCGGTTTGAAATGTCAATGTAATTTTGACATAATTTTAATTTTTATAAAATGTCTTAATATTCGTCACAAAAACATATAATAAAAAATTAAGGTTGGTATTAATATTTAAACATTAAATTGCTATCTTCATTGTTGCTAACTTAGGGTTTAATGTTTTTTATTTTAACTTTTTTGTTTTTTGAGATAAGTGCGTCTTGTTTGGACTCATTTTAAAGGTTTTTTTTAATAAAGAATACACCATGAAAGAACACCATGAAGTTGTCCATTTGTCTGTTATATGATAACTAACTTCAGGATTCAGATTCAGATTCAGGATCAACCTCAATTTTGACATATTTGTAATCGTTGTGAAAAATCCTTTAAAATGAATCCAAACATGACACGTTTACTTCCAATATTACTCAAGATATAAGCAACTTCCGGTTTGAAATGTCAATGTCATCTTGAGATAATCTTAATTTTTATCTTACAATTAGTCTTAATATTTGCCACAAAGACAAAAATATAATAAAAAAAAATTAAGGTTGGTATTAATATTTAAAAATTAATTTCGTATCTTCATTGTTGCTTTTTATTCTAACTTTTTTGTTTTTGAGGTAAGTGCGTCATCTTTGGACTCATTTTAAAGTTTTTTTTAATGAAGATGATAAATATGTCAAAATTGACGTTGACATTTTAAACCGGAAGTGATTGTATTTCCATTAATATTAAAGTTAAATATGTCAAGTTTGGATTCATTTGAAAGGATTTTTTATGAAGTTGACAAATACAGTGAAATTCCCCTAACTCGAGTCACTAAGGAACCGGAAGAAAACTTCGAGTTATGGAAAATTCGAGTTAGAGAAACACATTTAAACACATTTGAAGCCTACTCAAACGCTTGAGCTTACGAAAATTATTCGAGATATAGAAGTTCGAGTTAGGGGAATTTCACGGTATGTCAAAATTAAAAGTTGAAAGTTCGAACTTTTTGGGTTTTTAAGATAAATGCGTCGAGTTTGGACTCACTTTAAAGGTTATTTTATAAAGATTACGAATATAATAATAAAATTAAAGTTGACATTGACAACTGAATGTTTCTCCAAATGTTTCTAGTTTTAGTTCAATAAAAATATACAACATAGTAATATCTTATGCTAAGTAGCGCTACCTACCACTGCCACTAGAACTAACTCTCAAGACGGTTAAACCAGAATGATTCTTGTTATAAGTCTTGTGTCAGTTCTAGTGATAGTGTAAAACTAGAACTAACACTAGACCTAGAACTAGAAATAAGCACGGCAAAACCCGAAACTTTCTAAAACGTCTAGGTCTAGTGTTAGTTCTAGTTTTAGTGCAATAAAAATATGCAACATAGTGATATCGCTGTTATTTGTAAAATGGATAATATGAGAGATATTAATCTATTTGTAGAGTCTCTGAAGATGGCCAAGGGCCGAAACTAGTTAGATTTAAATTGTATACAAAATAAAAAACAAACTTCTCATCTATTTTTTTCTATTGCAGAATTTCTTGGTCTATCTAAGTGTCGTATCTAAGTCGGTTCTTAACGTATGATGCAAATTGAACTTGAAATCGTATAACGCGCTTAGCTTTATCCTTTAAAACTACCTTAAACTACTTTAAAACTTTATCCTACCAGACAGCATGAAAATCTCTAAAAACGATAGACTTTTTATCGTCAAGTGCTTAGTTAAGTGTATGTATAACGCGGTCCAATTATTCATTCAGTGTAAAGTGCAAATTAAAAATTTTTCATATAACGAATTTTCCCTTCCCCATATTAATCTGTTATATCGAGGTTTTACTGTATTAATTATAATTTACTTGTATCTAAACACTTGATTAAGTGCTTTAGTAATCCATCCACATTGTATTGATGTATTGGACATTTAGCAAGCTTATTTGTCCAATATTTCAAAATTTTTTCTATAAATAAGACGTATGAATAAGAATGATTGTCGAACTTGTCGTTAATCTAAAAATTAATTGGGATTACATTAAAATTAATACTATTAAGTAAACTTACGGAACAAAATTGTTCTTCAAAAGATAACTTTTCAATTAATGATTCTAAAGCGTCCAATAAATACAGTTTAATTAAACTTACAACATGAGCTGTACAAAATAAATCTTTTTTAAAGTGAGGGGTTGAATAACTAAAACGATTTTTTTAAATATTATTAAATTTGTTATAGTTATAGGGATTTACCTGTATAATTCAATAAAAAATTTCCAAAAAGTTTCGGAATGATTTGTGACGTCATCCCAAAAGGTGAAACATAACTTTGATAAAACTTTAGCGAGAAAATTACCAACTTTTAAAGTGTACGTTATTGTGGTTAAATCATCCATATCCTGAAAAAAAAATAACAAAAATTGATAAATTAAAAATGTTTGTTTATATCAAAAAAAATATTACTATTTCAAAAACTCCTTTTAAATTCATTAAGATTTCGGTCATAAGTAACTGTAAAGGTTGATTTAAATCCATGTTTTTAGCTAAAAATTCGCTGTATTTCCGCGTTAAAGTCGTGTATCCTTTCCAATTATCGACCATCGCTTTTACATTCATCCCAGATAATACAATTCCAATATTAACCAAGTTACACAAAACTAAAGAAAACAATATGTATAAATTTATGTTAAAAGCTTAAAATTTTTAATTTCACTTTACTATTTTTTAATAAAAGTATTTCATCTTCATTAATGTTATTAATAACTAAATCAAATTCTAACAGTTTTAGTAACTTTGAATGCACTTCTTGAGCTTTTTTGAATGTTACTAATAGTATCTCGTTGATTGAGTTGTAGTAAATTAAATAAATGTTATGGCTAAAAATAATTATCAAAATAAAGAAACACTCAATACTAATACTAGTAGGTGTTTGCCATAAATACCTTTCTTTACAGTGTAAGAATGTTTTATATAAAATATCACATAGATGCAATGAAAATGTTTGGTTTGGTAGATTACTATCTGGAATGTATGAAATTAAATCTTCTAAAACTTCTATTATATCCACAACCATCTAAAATAAAGTAATAAAATTAAATAAATTAAAAAAATAGGATAAATTTGTAAAAACTAGCAACAAAAAATAATGTTGTATAAGGTTAGTTTTGTACACGTGTGAATTTGGCCATAGATTTTAAACTGAAAAAAAATTCGTGAGCGGGGTATTTAATCAATCTAATTCCAACGGCATTGTGTTCATGGTCGCCTCTTGTTTTAAATTCGAAAAGAAAATTTTCCTAACCATTTCCTATAGTCCTAATCTCCCTGCTTAAGTTGACTTCTCTCAAAGATTTGGGAGTACCTTTTGATATCAGACTATTGTTTATACCGCACATAGAGGATGTCCCTTCTTGTGCTCAGAGGCGGCGCTACCGGGGGGTGCAAGGGGTGCACTGCACCCAGGCGCCGCCTAAAAGGGGGCGCCGGCACCTTTTTCATGTTTTCTCCAACAATATCTTATCTTTCTTTTGCAGTATTTAGACCTGTCAGCAGTAGCTAGTCTTCAGAAAGCAGTATTTAGTCTCCACAAAGCAATTTTAGTCTTTAGAAAGCAGTATTTAGTGTTTCAGATGCTGTATTTAGACCTATCGGCAGTATTTAGTGTTCCAGACGCTGTATTTAGTCTCCACAAAGCAATTTTAGTCTTTAGAAACCAGTATTTAGTGTTCCAGACGCTGTATTTAGACCTGTCGGCAGTATCTAGTCTTCTGCCAAAGTTATGTATGTTTGCTTGTTGTATGTTTACCCGGTACCTCATTTCTGCAGCTGTTACTTTGCTTTTGTGCTTATCCTGCATTGGAAAATTTTCGTATTGGTGATTTCCTATCCTGTGCAATAACAAGACAAGTCCATTGGTTTCTTGTTCATATTCTTCGCATTCTTTTATTGAACACATAAGTATTGTCATGAAAAATCATGTTTGGTTTATAATCAATTTTTTGTTTTCTCTGAACAGTAATTTCAGACTTCATGTGGACTTTGAACAATGTAATTCCTGTTTTTTGCTGAAGTCTAGTTTATAACTAATGCAATTTCAGACTTTTTCTTGCAAATTAACCTTCTGACCAGAGTATTCCCGACTATTCCCTTAAGTTTGGTTTTTCACCAGCATAATTCTTAAATTTTTGCTGACGTATGGATTATGATTATTCCAGTCTTTTTTAAGTTTATTTATATTTCTTTAATTATACAGGGTGTATCTGAATGACTGCAAGAAACTTCAATGGGTGATTCTTCAGTGAATTTTAAGGGTACTTTGATATATGAACCATGGGCGACTTCGGCTCCCCTAAGGAGCTACACCCCTCCAAAAATGACGGAAAATTTTGGTTTAATTCTTTTTTCTCAAGAACCATAAACGCTAGGAAAATAAAATTTGGGGAATATGTTTGACTCATAATAGGGCACGTTTTGACCCTATTTGTACTTTCGTTCAAAATCAAAATATTATGTCAGCCACCCAATAGTCGAGATACAAACGTCTTAGATTTAGGCTTTTTTAATGCAACTAAATCATTGCAGCAACAATCAGCTCGCAAAACTGTAAACGAATTAATTTTTGCTGTTGAAAAAGCCTTTGCCGAATTGAGTTCACATACTAGAAGTGACACTGGCGTATACCGCCAAATCTGACGCCATATTATAGTGAGTTGCCAAGCTTTGCTGCTATTGGTGGTAAAGATTTGGCGGGTTACCGCCAGTGTATTCTGTGCCTTTGGTAACTCGCGATAAGATGGCGAATTTTAAATCGAATTGCCGCCAACATCAAACGAATCGACGTCAGTGTTATTTCTGGTTATTCTGTGGTAGAAACCATGAAAGTAGATGGAGGCAATAATTACAAAGTGCAGCATTTGAATAAAGGTCATTTACAGAGAATGGGTAGGCTTCCTGTTTGTGTAAATTTTGATTTTGGGCTTTATCAACATGTAAAAGACATCATCAATTCAGATTTAATACTTAAATGATCGTCTAAAGTTTCTTAGAAACGATATTTGTAGTTAAGTTTCAATAAATTAATTTTTAAGTAAACTGAACACTTATTTTTGGACAAAAAAACATCAATATCAGACAACTTTATATACTTATTTATTATTATACTGGATGGAAGGAGTAGAACCAATGTGCAGGCTAGTGCTTTACTACTTGTTTAATTGATCCTTGTGTTAATGTAAGTTTGTATTTCTGTATAGTATAATATTGTCCTGTAATTGGTACTTTGTTGGGCAATAAAGATATATTATTATTATTATTTAAGTTATTTTCTGTTCCGCCATCAGGGGATGAAAGAGGGGATCATCTTTACCACCAATGAATGTCTCCCTTCAAACCAAACAAATTTTATCCAGAAGTTTTTTTAGTCTGATGTGTAGATTTTGAGATATTCCATTTTGTTAGGTTAAATGGGACACCTGTATATTATATGAAAAACAGAGGTATCCACAATAAATGTTAACAAATTAAACAGTTCCTGTTAAGAGATTTTGAAATTATAAAAAGTAAAATACCTACCAATAATTAGTTAATTTTGAAACATTTAATAAAAAACCAACCAAATAAAATACATACTTCTAATGTAGATCTTATCATTTCCAAAGTACGCATACACATTTCTTCTTGATTTTCAAATGATAACTCAAAACACTTTTCGAAAAGAGAATTAAGCATTTCTTTAGTATGAACCACAGCAGATTCTAAAAGATCGTTTTGAGATCCTCCTTCATGATTTTGCTTCACAAAATTAGTGACAAGGTGATGTAAGCATGCTAACTTCTTGGAAGATATTGCATCGCTATTTAATATATCGTTTTATTGCATTAAGGAAATATAATTATTAAAAACATCGACATAACCTCTTAAAAGTTGTTAAAAAAGGATATTATTAAGTCGGATCCGCTGTCGTAAACGAGCTCTTCATCGTCGCAGTAGTTATTAATTATTTTTGAACGTCTTGAACTCATTTTAAACATTAAATAATCACACACATTGAACAAAATGTTTCAATATTGGACACATAAATAACGACACACATTTGAGGAAGTAAACAAGTTTGAACTGCTGTCAAATCACGGTAACAACAAACTGTAAGAAATAAAAATTCCCTAAAAATTTTGATAATTACATGTATATCAAATTTATAAATGTGATAAGAAAAAATTGTGCAATAAAATTAAATGTGGAGTGTTTAAAATCAAATATTTATAAATAATAATTTTATATTAAAAATTAATTTAGAATCGAAACTAATTATTGTTATATTGGTTGCATACGCATCAGTAAGAGAAATAGATGTATTATTTAACTTTTATGTTTTTCTAAATCTTTACATAACATAAACTTTTGACCTTATAATTATCTTTAAAAAAGTAAATGTGGTATTCAGTTATAACTATTTCATTTTAAACAAATTAAAGTATGGTAATATATGTATTCGAACCTCGACTTTATGTTAATAAAATAGCATACAATGCAATAGTTAACAATAAAATTGTCAACTCATGAAGGTATTCAAGCATTAACGATATCATATCATAACTAAAATCAAAAATGGCACAATCCAGCAAGTCGCAAGAAATTGAAATTGCAACACCATGGGGACAAATATCAGGTAAATAATTTCATTATTGCTTTAAAAGCTTTTAACGATTTTTTTTAAGCAAAAACTTGGGGTCATTCCATAAACCAAGTTGTCTTACTTCTTCATGGATTGGAAGATAATGCAAATACATTCGATGGATTAATTCCTTTATTACCTCAAGATTATTATTATGTTAGCATTGATTTACCAGGACATGGAAAATCAGATGTTTTACCCTCCTTAGGACTACCACTACAAGGTATGGACTATGTCTATGTAATCAAGATGTTATTTGACCATTTCGCAAGAGAAAAGTACATCATAATTGGACATAGTTTTGGAGCAATTTTAGGAATGCAAATTGGCTTTGTTTACCCAGAAAAATTAGAAAAATTGTTTATCTTGGACACATTATGGTTCCAAATAATAAAACCGAGCGAGTTTGGAAATTGGACTAGAAATAAATTTCAAGAATTCGCTAAAATTCAAAATCAAATTACTCGAAATACAACCGTTTATTTTACTTATAAACAAGCTGAGGATGTGATGACCACTTGGAGATATTCAAATTGTGAATTAACCCCAAAAGCGACTGAAACATTGTTGGAGAGGTCTATTAAACAAGTTGGAAATGACAAATATAGATTTACAAGAGATCCCAAGTTAAAAAGTTACCTTTGTTATCCTTTGGATGAACAATACGCTTGTGAAATGATTAAATCACATAATATAACTTTTAAAATTGTTGTTATAGTAACTGAAAAAGCCGAGATATTTTATAACGAAAAATATCCTAATTTAGTGGAGGAATACAAAAAAGTTGCAGATTGGTTTGTTGTTAAAGGAAATCATCATGTACACTTAAATGAACCAAGTGTCGTTTCAAATATTATTAATCAATTTTTAGATGAAGCTTATCCAATTTAATTAAATAAAGAATTTTATTACACATTTATAACAGATTTTTTACAAAACATTTGTATATATTTGGGTAATAAAGTAACTCTAACCGGTTTCACCTCAAAAGCCTCTTTATCAATAGAAAAAAATAATTCTTTATTCTCAACCAATTCGGGTTCAATTTCAATTTGTCTGGCTAATATTTTATTAGTCACCGTTCGATCTTGTCCATGCTCATTTTTCCAACCTTGCGTTACAAAATCAAAATAATTCACTGTACTCGGTCCATATCGTACAATAAGACTTGGAATGTCATTCGATTCATCGTCTTGATTTGAAGCACTAATTGCGTTTGAAGTTAAAATAGATAAATCTGTCGTATTTATTTTTGTTTCTGTTTGTTCTGAACATTTTTCGTTTACTAGTAATGCAGCTTTTGGTTTTGTAGATTTATTTGAGAGAAACCTAAAAATTAAAGAGTAAAAATAAGACAAAGAACAAAAAAAAAATTTTTTTTCTGTGGCACAAGGTTATGGAGTCAATTTAGATACATATGTATAATTATGAAGTACTCAGCCTATACATTATTTCGTTTGAATTGACTCTGGATCTCATGATAAACCGTTCTATAAAAAACACAGGTTTTTTTATTAACGTGTCTTTTTCAAAGTATAACTTTCTCTTTGTCAATTTAACCAACATAACTCTTTTAGAAAAACATATCTGGCAACACGTTAGATTTGGTTTTGGATCGCGTTGTAACTTTATTGTACAACTGATTCTTCTCTACTTCCAGAAGACGTAGCTCATGCGTCAGTTGAGTTGGCGTGCAATATTGCACCTGTAGGCAACCTCATTGAACGACTTCCTACTACTTATAACTCTAAAAGAGCTGCTTTTAATGATATCAGTGACCTTAATGATATTAATTGCAGATGTAAATGTCAACACTGCTACAAACATTTTCTATAATCATTAAAAAATGTGTACCACAAAAATGTCATTCTATGAACGATTACCCAGTTTGGTTCTCTAAGAGCACAATAAGAGTAATAAACGAAAAGTATAAAGCGCATAGAAAAATGGAAGCGTTGTGGAAATCAGTTGGACTATTTAACGTTTCGTCTTCTGCGCGGACGATCTAAATACCTGATTAATCAGAATTATAAGGCGTATATTATACGAGTGCAGGAGGGTGTTGTAGCAGTTTGTTAAAACTTTAGACAGTAATGGCGACTGATTAAATATATTTGTCATTTATTTCCTGGTCTCAGTATAGAAAAGTTAAAAGGAGGAATTTTTGATAGGCTGTAAATCCGTAGTTTTATAAACAATGATGATTTCACAAACCACGTAACTTAAGTTGACTTGGAATGATGGACAAACTTTGTATCAGTTGTCAAAATTTTTTTGGGGAGTCAAAGCTGAAGAATGTAGTAGACAAAATGCTCCAGAATTACCAAAAATTAGGAGCTAATATGAGTATCAAACAGCATTATTTATTATTATATAAATAATGGTTTTATTAAACAGGGTGTCTCACGTAACTGGTTCGTTAGAACTTTTTTAAATAATATGTTCACTTTCATAAAAGTTATTGGTACCTAGCGTCTTTCGTTTTCGAGTTATTTTGATATAAAGTTTTTTTTTTGGCTAATTTCACCATGCTCTTTAAAACCCTATATCCCAGCCAACATTCATTCAAAAAAGCTCTAAACTGGCACGATTACTCTTCAGATGCTGTCAAATAGATTGTCATTTATTGTATCAGAGTATTTTTGACCACCTGTATAAGATACTCCGATACAACATGAATGACGTGCCCAAACTTCAGGGGGTGATTCTTTAGGCAATTTTAAGGGTACTTTCTCATATAAACTATCAGCGATTTCGACTCCCCTGCGGAGCTACGCCCCTTCAAAAATCGCGAAAAATTTTGGTTTATTTTATTTTTCCCGAAAACCATTAACACCAAGAAAATGAAATTTGGGAAATATGTTTAGCTTATAATAGGGCACGTTTCGAGCCTATTTGTACTTTCAATCTTCCCTTCTAAGTTACTAAACATAACCACCCTCGTTCAATTTTTGTCTAGATCTTTTTTATGACGATGATAAATACATTGGAAATATTTTATTTAGATAGACGAAAATATTCTAAAACTTTTTTCTCTCTCTGATTTTCTTCGAAAATTTAATAATTTCTGAGAAAAAAAATAATTAAGCAAACACTAACTGTTAAGCTGTAGGGTTGTTAATCGAAAGTTGGAATGAATTTTTAATGAAAAAATCTTAGCAGGCTTAGCAATCTTTGTCAGAAATATTTTTGACGTTTAAATGTCAGTGGTTTTCTTACTATTATTATTGTTTTATTTAAAATTTTGAAACGTCGAGTGAACGAGCGTAAATGCGGTAGAACTTTATTCATAAATTAATTTGAAAAACAATAATAATAGTAAGAAAACCACTGACATTTAAACGTCAAAAATATTTCTGACAAAGATTGCAAAGCCTACTAAGATTTTTTCTTAAAAATTCATTCCAACTTTTGATCGACAATCCCGTTGTTGAACGGGCAGTGTTTGTTTTATTATTTTTTTTTCTCAAAAATTAGACGTTTTTGGAAAAATTTTAGAGAGACAAAAAAGTTTTAGGATACTTTCATCTACCTATGTAATTTTTTTTTAATGTATTTACCCTCTGCATAAAAAAATTTTAGCAAAAATGTAAAGGGGGTGGTTACGTTTAGTAGTTTCAAAGGATAGGTTGAAAGTACAAATAGGGTGAAAAAGTGCCCTACTACCAGTTAAACATATTCCCCAAATTTCGTTGTCCAAGCGTTTATGGTTTTTGAGAAAAAAAAATTAAACCAAAATTTTCCGCCATTTTTGGAGGGGTGTAGCTCCTTAGGGGAGCCCAAGTCGCCCATGGTTTATATATCAAAGTACATTTAAAATTGCATAAAGAATCACCCCCTGAAGTTTGGGCATGTCATTCAGATACACCCAGTATACCACACTAAATATATTAAACTATTCAATTACATTATTTTAAAAATTTCTATTATTTCCGGGAATTATTTGTAGCCAATGACGTATTGCGCAGTGTGGTTGCGTATAAACCTATACTCTGTTTTTAAACCAGGAGGAGTATTTTAAATTTGTCACAAGATTGACCTTGCACGTGATTGGTTGAATGCGAGGAAGGTTCACACACAGGCAATTTTGAATTTTGATTTTGAATTTGAAGGTTAGGTTATTGATAATTCGACAGTTTCGTGTCATTGTTGTAAATTTTGTTTAAACCCTTTTGCGTCTTCAATTTAATTGAGTGAAATCTGTTCTTTTTAGAACATGGTATGGATCGTGACCCTAATAGTCGTTCACAACAAATTTCACAATAATAAGTAAATAAATAAATAATAATAATTATTAATTTAAATTTACCGCCAAAATATCTAGTGATATTTTCTGGTGATTTTTCCTAGTGTAAATCTGACTTTCGCGTTTACTCCTCCTGGTTTAAAAACAGAGTATAGT